TCCATTCAATCACACTTAATCTTTCTTTCCCAAAATTTGTTCTCATCCCGGCTCAAGTGGACTGCAGTTTCGACCTCGCATCGGTCTTATCAACTCCCTCAGCGGTAGTCGAACTGTGACAGTGCAGAATGTGAGCTTGACACGTTAACCACGGATTGTAATAAAAGCGTAATCGAAGTTCTTTTGCTGACAGCTTAAGCGATTTTTCTGATCATATGAATTAGCCTAGGCAACGAGTAATGTATTTCACTGTGCCATCTTCGATGCGTGTCTATCGCTCCAAGGATGAAGATTCGGCCCAGCAATATCGAAGTCCAGATTTTTATCCCATTGGCCCACTAAGGTTAATTTATTTTAGTGCAGAACAGAGGCCATACAGTAACTATACTCTTCTCTTTATCTGTACCTCTTGTCAATTGTAAAGTAAAATTTGTGTCTTCGCATTTACTTCCTAATCTTATAATCTGTTTGCGAAGACAGAGGGCAATAGCAAAACTCTTGTATGAATAATAGCTACATGCTCTGCAAAGTTCATTAAGTGTGATTTCGTTGTCCACTAACTAGCGAGGTCTTGTTTATTTTGACAGGTGTAATCCTCCATTCTATCCATACAATCGAATTTCTCCTCTTTCGATGCGAGCACTGCCTCGTTAGTAGACTTCAACGACCATAACTATCCGTTTTCCCCAGGTTTTATCAAGTGTCTCCTTGTCCCCACGTGGCCCGCCCCATTCATGTTGGCCTGTAAAGGCTGTTTTTATTTAATTTTGGCAGACCGCCTAGCCTTATTCAGGGTTTGCGTAGACACACCAATTTCGCTTTCACTTAAATTCTGACCATGCCTGTTAGACGGACTCCTACTTAATGCGGTTACTTGAGCGATTATTGCTAATTTCAATCTCGTTTAGGTTGAGCTGCGTGTCGCCAGATCGTTGACTCAAACTTAATGCCTGGACTATCTTAAATTGAATGGAAGAAGCCTGACTTAGCGGGTGTCCACTAGACCTTTTCGTGTTATCACCTGAATATCCAGCTAAATTGTGCTAAATGGCCACAAATTAGCACTGTGCAAATGGGCCATTCTGATGACCCCAGCCTAAAATGAGCCGAAGTGATAGTTTTTGTTAGTCTCTTTAGAGGTTTTGCAAACGGCCTGGACAGTTTCATTTGATCTTGGGCATTTTCCTGGAAATCATAATGTACGGCTTTTCCAGGCTAAGGCGTCAGAATCTTATTAAAGGCATGCTATTTTGACTGGTGACTATTTATTTGTGCTGCTTTAGTCCCGTTTTTGCAACTTGGTCGGAGTGACAGCGTGACCTTATGGAACGTACTTAGTATCATCTTGGTCTTCATAGCTACGCTAGCATTATTTGTGTCCTGAGCCGTTTCTGTACTCATAATCTTTCTCACGAGGCTCATGGCAACTTTTTACAGAATTTGTTCCAGCTTTGTCAGTTTGAAGAACAACCCTTTTTCTGTTATTTAACGCCGGACCCTTTCTGAACTTTTGCGCGCCATGGGATGGTCTGAGGTGCCTTTAAACTTGCTTTTAAATGTTTTCTAGCAGTTAAATTCCTTCAGATCCTGCTCGAGGTATGAGGCTCATTGTTGCCGGGGCTCTGGTGTCTGCCCTGAAGAATTCTATTGTAAACAAAGAGATCTCATTTTTCAGCTATGACAACTTTTATCACAAACCTTTCCTTCACCGGAATGCTCGACAGAGTTCCCAGCTGATGGAAGATCAAACTCTGTTTTTAAATTTCCTCTTTCTGACCCCCTTTATTCTTTCAAGGTTTGATATTGTTTTTGCTGGTGTGGCGGGACGACGGCCTTGCGGAGGCAGCGGTCGTTTTATAGGCCTCTTAGTCCCGGATGAGCACATCGGCGAGTTCCAATCGTCTGATCAGTATTTGACAGTCAAACTCTGGGCTTCTAAGACTTCCCTAATGATTCTATATCACAGGATCATAAATCTGGTGTGAAAAGTTGAATAGGAGCTGAATTGACCTTTCCGGAAAC